GTTTTTTTGAGACAGAGTCTCACTCTGTTGCCCAGGCTAGAGTGCCATGGCGTCGCCTAGCTCACAGCAACCTCAAACTCCTGGGCTCAAGTGATCCTCTTGCCTCAGCCTCCCAGGTAGCTGGGACTACAGGCAAATGCCACCACGCTCCGTTAATTTTTTCTATTTTTAGTAGAGATATGGTCTCGCTCTTGCTCAGGCTGGTTTGGAACTCCTAACCTCAAGTGATCCTCCCACCTCGGCCTCCCAGAGTGCTAGGATTACAAGTGTGAGCCACCATGCCCTGCTAATTTTTTCTATATATATTTTTAGTTGGTCAATTAATTTCTTTCTATTTTTAGTACAGACGGGGTCTCGATCTTGCTCAGGCTGGTTTTAAACCCCTGACCTTGAGTGATCTGCCTACCTCGGCTTCCCAGAGTGCTAGGATTACAGGTGTGAGCCACCGTGCCCGGCCTCTTTAAATTCTTAAAAACAGATTCCAGAGTCACATTCCCAGAGATTAGACTCATATGAGGTCCAGACTCTGCATTTTTCACCTTTAGAGCCCAAACCATTTATTCATTAAATGTCTGCTTATTAAACACCTACTACTGGTACATGCCAGGAGGTATTCTGGCTGCTGGGGATGGGGCAGAGCACAAAGCATTGAAATCCCTGCTATTGGGAAGCTTCCATTCTACATTGGGAAGATAGGCTGTAACTAGATACATATATGAACAATGTTCCGGGCAGTGATAAGCATTATGATGAGGGATAAAGTGGAGTTAGAAGAATGAGGGCTATTACCTATTTTCACTGGGTGTTCTGGGAAACTTCTCTAATAAGGTAACAAAGCAGATTCCTATACAGATTTCCAGGGGAAAAGCATTCCAGGTTGATGGAACACCAAGTGCAAAGACACTTGCAATTCTGCTGCTACTGATTTAAAGTGATTAATGAGCGCTTGCTCGGTGCCGGATGCTTTGCAGCACTGATCTTATTTCAACCAACTCTGCACAGCTCATTATTAACTGCTCCCATTTTACCTACTACTGCATGGAGGATACAGCCACAGACCTAGCAAAGGAGAGAACTGAGGTGTGACTCAGGTGGCTGATGGAATGTCCCCAACCACAATGCTTTAGGAAGTCCACTGTGGGGAACGGGTCCCCTAGTAAGCAATGATTTAATAGCAATTAATGAGGCTGCCTAAGATGATATTTAGGAAGTTTTCTTTAAAGATCTGGGTATGTGCAATACAGTATTAAGCAAACAAGTATACGGAATTGTATATATGGAATGAACTTGACTATATGGCCCCCCACAAAAACTGCACAAGAATGTAAAATACAAAGGAAATACGCCCAAATATAAGCTGTGTGGTTGCGTCTAAGTGGTACATTTCTTTAACCCTTCCTTTTTAGTACTTCCCAAATGTGCCTGTTATAATAAGCAGGCATTTCTTGGACCATCAGGGGGGAAAAGATATCATAAAAAAATATTGCAAGAAGTGCATAGCCGTCTCCTTTATCTGCCCTCGTATGGAGTTGTGACAACAACTTTGTATTAAGTCCTCTGTGTCACACTCCCTTCCTTCGTGTCACACACATCTTCCTTCCAGGCAGCCCTGAGCAAGGCTCAGCCAAGGGTCCTCAGAGCCAGGACCAGGCTGGTGGTCACCCGGCTGCTGGGCGGGCACCTGCCATCTTCATCCGTCACGTGGACTGGCCCACCCAGTCACATTTGACAAGAGATGTGAAAGCTCCACTTGCAAATCCTTCCATTTTGCTGCTATAAATTCTCCCGGCTCTTATTAATAAAATATAATAGTAATTCCTAGAATAATGAATGGCCTATTATCCAAAGTCAGAGAATGACAGAGCAATCGAAATCAGAATGAGTTATGGGATCCACGGATATGGGTGGGGGTGGGGAGGAAGGATAAATTCTGGCTTCCAGAGAAGCGGCGTTAGGCCCAGGCAGCAAATCAAAGGCACGATAGTCAAGCTAGTTGCTTAAATTGCTTGAAGGATAATAATAGGTTTATAAGGCAAACATCGGAATATTTGAAAACCAGATGTGGATGACCCGCCACGGAAGTCAGGTGGACGTTTGATGTGCTATGAACTGACCCCCACCCAGCCGTATGGGTTGACTTTCCTATATTATGTCTACTTCCTTCTCCTCCCAAAGTGTTTTTGTCTTAATTTTGTTTAGTTTGAGTTTGTGGAGTTTGAAGTTGATAGTTCTAGATATGATTTCTTTTTCTATTAGGTTAATACTACTGTATACATTTGACCCGGACCTGACCAGGCCTTGTCGAGAGTAAAAGAGAAGTCTTCAAAGTCCAAAAGAGTCCCCTAGGGTCACCTATAAAAGAGAATCTGAGTAATTCAGAGGACCGGAGTGAGGAGAGCTTTGTGACTGAGTCTCTCCTGACCAAGGGACCTGCTGACTTCATAAGTCCTGGACGTGGACTTAGCTCAGAGTACTCTGAAGCCACAGGGTGAACCCCCATGGCTCCTCCAGACAGAGTGTGACGTCACCTGCCATGGTGGCAAGTGACATCACCTGCCATAGTGACTCAGCCTCTGAGCCCCCCCCAAAGGAAACATGGAAGACTTCTGCCAACTCTACACAAAGGCGACCCCTCTCCGCCCACCTGTCCCATCCGTGCAATAGGGCGAACTTTCCTCACGGTGGGCCCCCTCAACTTCCCACACCCCCACCCTTTCTCAGGCTCTAAGGCTCTAATTCTCAACCCTAAAACTTCGGGGAAATTTTTTACAACTTCAGTGGCTGAGATCCACCCCCAAGAGATTGCGATTGAATTATTCTAGGCCCTTGCTACTCAAAGGATGGTCCTCCAACTCACAGCAACAGCATCACTTGGGAGCCTGTTAGACAGGATTTCAGACCCTACCTGAGACCTAATTCATCAGAATCTGTACTTCAACACGATAACTCTAATGTACAGCTGTGTTTGTGAAGCGCTGCCCTAGGCTTGAGCCCAGGAGTGTTGGGTTTGTTTGTTTGTTTTTTTTTAATTCCTCAAGTTATTCTAATGCTTAACGAAGGCTAAGAACATCCCACTTAAGTGCTATCATTGGCCTTTCTTTCTTCTTGCAGGCCACTGCTAAGCCCAGTGTCCTGGTCACTGGACCCGGGTAATCCCTATTTCCTACCCCACCTGATGGAGGAGCTATCGGTAACTGTGGAAAATTCCCTGAGCCTCTCCTGCTTCCCTGAGACTTATCCCAGCCACCACATCCAGGAAAGCCTTTCCCTTCCCCCTCCCTTCCTTCTCCATAGCTGATCTGCTTCCTACCTAGTTTGGGGTGCTTGGCCCTCCCCATCTTCTGTCCCCTGCCCCCGCCAGCTCTGTGTCTGGGCGGCAAAAGCTGAAAAGTACGAGTGTTTCCACAGAAAAAAGAACAGTGGGCCTTTCTTCCTCTTGTTTCCCCAGGCCCAGCTCCTCACCTGCACATGTGTGAGAAAGGTGAACAGTACGAAGACAGAGAAAGGAGGAAGACTTTGCAAACAGAGAACCGTAAGACAGGCATCAGGTGACATTTAAAGAGCAACAGCAGCTGCTTTTAGACTATTAGCCAAGGGGAGGTGAGCAGGAGAGAGAAACTCGGGACCCACGCTGCATTCTAACATTGCAAGATTCCACGAAGTGACTCAAAATATGAAAGGCGATTAAGGGTCCAACACCTAAGATTATCCAATTTCGAACCGCAGCCCCAATGGGAGGAAAGAGCCACCCCACAACAATGCCCACTGCAGTTGAGTTTCAGGTCGCTGTCGTTACCTTTCAGGGCCTCGTGACCACATCAGCGCCCCACTGTAGGAACAGGAAGGTCTTTTTGAGCCTAGATTCCTGGGTGCAAATAAATAAAACCCCAGTAGCCTGAGATTTTCCTGTATATTCTGAGGCTGAGAATAGGCCCAAATATCTCTTCACCCTACTCCATCCCCTTGCCCTCCCCAACATTCAATAAGAACAGAATGAAAACTAGCACAATCTAAGCACCTAAAAAGCTGGCTCTGCTTCAAGGCACCCTGGGCTGGTTATGACAGTCACTTGGTAAAACATTCTACCTGTGTCTAGTCACAGGTACACGCAGAAGCCAGGGGACAATACCAAAGGCATCTTTGTTTCCGTTTTGCTTTTTCCATTTGGTCCTGACAGCCAGCCTCACTCAGGCATCGGTGGCCCCTCCTCCCCGTCTCCTTTGCTCTCTCCCCTCCTGCCCTCTGCCCGCACCAGGTCTCAGCGTCATCTCGCTGGCTGCCAGGGGGTCAAGACAGAGAAGACCACCACTCCTGCGGCCATCCTGGGAGGCCCCCCTCAGCCCTCAGCAACTTCTCCCTCTTTCCTGTTCTTCAACAAGTAGCATCTGCGACATAAATGACATGTTTCTTAGGAAACTGCATCTGGATCCTTGAGTGGGGACTTTTGACCGAATCCAAATTTTACAGAACAAATACTTTTCATAAAGGGATTTGTTCTGAGAAGTTTGGATTCAGTTGAGGGGCTGTACTTGGGGATCTGGAGGCCCACATGTGGTCTTGAGGCCGCAGGTTCCCCACCCCTGGGAGATGGGACTCCCGCCAAGGACAATGTCTGGGACGATGGTGCTGGGAGAAGGCACAGTCCCGACAGATTTCATGCAGCCAGGGTATTGTCTGTTGTTTTCCAGGACCAGTAAGTCTAGGCAAAATCTTTGATAGGACCAGTCTCCAGGGAGAAAGCTAGAAGCAGAGAATCTCTCAAGAGAAGTCTTATGAGAAAAGGACTGTAGGCTCCTGCAGGGGGCCAACCCTGCAGTGAGCAGGGGCCTCATTGTTCCTCCCTTTTGTCTTCTCTCTAAGCAGAGATTAAACCCCTATCAAAGCAACCTCAACAAGTCTGTATGTTCTCAAAGACTTAAGCTTTATCTGAAGAGTTCATGCTGATCTTGCAGTCTTACTCTGCATGTTTTCATACAAAAATAAAATTTAACAATACTTACCAGTTAAACAGGTTTCCAGAGCTGGTTAAGATGGAGCAAATACACACCACTCTATCTCTTCCAGTGATCACAGCTAAAGACCCCAGGCAGAATACATACAGCAGTCATCAGGGAAGTCTAAAAAGAAAATAAGAACAGGCAGGTGGAGGGGTATCAACATTCCAAGGAAGATGGATATGGCAATGGGTTTGCTGGCATTTTCTTTACTCCTATATGTCCCAGCTTAGGCTCAGGACAGCCCAAATCCAAGACCTGCTCAGCAGGAATAGAGGGAAAAATGCCCAAGAGAAATTATTAATACATCTTTATGGTCAGAGAACCAGGAAAGGGCTCCATGTAGAATAGAGATAGTGGGAGAAACCTATTCTTCTTTCTTTCTCTATCTTTCCTGCCCCAGGCAGATGTTCTAAATACACGGGACCCCACAGTAGTGGCAACAGCAGCCACAGCCAGGAAGGCACCTGAAACTCAGAGAGAAAACCCTTCTTTCTGACCAGAGGAATGAAAAAGAAGGAGAGAATCCTGGTTCCTTTTTCCTCTCTTTTCTCTTGCTGCTTCACCCGGAGCCAGAGCCAGACCCAGGACAAGAGTGCCAGGAGGCACAGACCCCACCTTGCTAGCCTGAGAATCAGGAAGAGGGAGCCTAAGGAGCTGAGAAGTAGCGAAAACATGAATAGGAGGGAGTTTGAGGAATGGGCCACAAAAACTGTGCATGAAGTCCTGAGCCCATCACTGAATTATGCATACGTGGAGCTAACCTCAAACACACAGCAAAGGCTTTGAGAAATGATCTAAGGTGTAGATCATTGCCCAGGTCTAAAACAGGCCAAAATAGCACAGTAAACATTTGAAGAGTGAACTAACACAGGCAGCATAGGCAAAAAAAGGCAGCTCAGGACTTGACACCTGAACCTAACCAAGTAGATTTCTGCCTAAAGAAAAAATATCAACGTTCTCCAGAGTTTTTCAATAGGAACCAGAGCCAAATACCCTACTATTTAAAATGTCAAGGACACAATCCAAAGCTACACAATACACAAAGAACCAGGGTAAGATAATCCTGTATGTTAACACTGAGATGATCCAATTGTTGGAATTATCAGACAAAGATTTGGAAACAGCCATTGTAGCCATGCTTTAAGACATAAAGAAGAACTCTTTTGAAACAAATGAAAAAATAGAAATTCTAAGGGGAAAAAATAGAAACCATAGAAAAGGACTAAAAGGAAATTTTACAACTAAAAAATATAATACCTGAAATAGAAAATTCACTGTCTGGGTTACATAGAAGAAAGAAAATGAGAGAAGAGAGAGGCAGTGAATTTAAAGTGTATCAATAAAGTTATCCCATTGAAAAACAATGGTAACAACAAAAAGGTTTTAAAAAATGAATATCTTCAAAGACCTATAGGGTAACATCAGAAGGTTTAATATGTATGTCATTATAGTCCTAGAGGAGAGAAGAAAAAACTGATGCAGAAGGAAAATATTTGAAGAACTCATAGCCAAAAACTTGTCAAATGTGGTAAAAGGTGCAAATTTGCTGACTTAAGAATCTCAAGGAACACCAAACCAGAAAAACTGAAGGAAAACTGTACCTAGGTACATCATAGTCAAGCTGCTGCAAACCAAAGATAAAGAAGGAAACAAATTACACACAAAGAAAAAAAAATTAGTTACTAAGGATTACTTACCAAAAACCATGGGAGCCAGAGGAGGTAGAATAACATTATACGCTGAAGGAAAAGAACTGTCAACCCATGATTCTGTGTTAATGAAGATATCCTTCAGAAATAAATTCAAGATGTTCTTAGAAAGTGAGAGAAAAGTAAGACAATTCATTATTAGCATACCTACCCAAAAATGTAAGCTCTTTTTAAGTGTATGTATTTAAAGTATACAATGTGATGTTTTGATGTACTTATCTTGATATACATGGATGTAGTGAAGTGTTATTAGTCAAGCAAATGAATATACCCATCATCTTATATAGTTAACTTTCTTCTTTAAAAGGGAAATTCTTCATGCAGAAGGGAAATGACACCACAGGGAAAATGTGGAAATTTCAAGAAAGAAGGAAGACCAAAAAATTGTAAATATTTATGAATATTTAATGCAAAAATTACAATATTCCTTGTGGGGTTTTCAATGTATATAGATGCAAAACACATAACAAAACTTAAAGTAAGGAGCATAAAGAGACCTATATAGCTGTGAGGGTTCTACATTTTACTTGAAGTGCTTAAATGTTAACTCTAATTAGACTGAAAATTAAATATGTATATTGTAATCCCTAGAGCAACAACTTGAGATACTAAAAAGTTAATAAGTTAAAATGAAAAACTGAAAAATACTTAATACAAAAGAAGGCAGAAAAATGGAAACAAAAAGAATTGGAAATCAGAAAGAACACACAGAAAGCAAATAATAAAAGAGCATCCTAACTTCACCTCTATCAATCATTAATATAAGTGGGCTAAACACACCAATTAAAAGTCAGAAATTGTTAGATTGGATTGGGGGTGGGGAGAGATCCAATTATATGTTGTCTATAAGAAACCCATTTTAAAAATAATAGTATAAATAAGTTAAAAGTAATCAGATAAAAATACATGCAATGCAAACACTAATTAAAGGAAATCTGGAACTGGCTAGTTTAATATCAGACAAAGTAGATTTCATAACAAGGAAAAGGGATGAGGAGGGACATTATATAACAATGAAAAGACCAATTCAATGCAACATAATAAGCCCGAATGGGTCTGTTCCTAACTACAGAGCCTCAAAATACATGAAGCAAAACTGATAAAACTGAAATAAGACAAATCATAAATTAGAATTGGATATTTAACACCCTTTTCTCCATAATCAATAGAACAAATAGGTAGAAAATTATAAAACTATAGAAGACATGAATACACCATCAATCATATTTACCTAATTAATGTTAATTGCATGCTCTACCCAAGAAGAGCAGAATATGCATTATTTAAATGCACATAGCATATTTACCAAGACAGATCCTATTCTAAGTCATACACAAATCATTAACAAATTTAAAAGACTTGAAATCATCTAAAAATAGGTTCTCTGACCATAATGGAATTAAAGTAGAAATCAATATCAGAAAGATATGTTTAAATAAAATTTGAAAATTCAACATTCCAAGTCATCCCTGGTTCAAAGACAAAAATCTCCAGGGGAATTAGAAAACATTTTTAACTGAATTAAAAATGAAATTACAACATATCAAAACTTGAAGATGGAGTTAAAGTAGTATATACAGGAAAAAAACAAAGTATTAAATGTATATATTAAGAAAGTAGAAAATCGTCAAATTAATCTAAGCTTCTACCTTATGTAATTAGGCAAAGATGAGCAAAATTAATCTGAAACAAGCACAAGAAGAAAATAAGAAGAAAAAAATCAATAATATTAGAAACAAAAAAAATAGAGAAAACCAATACAAACAAATGCCGGTTTTTTGAAAAGATCAATAAAATTAATATACTTTGTATTAGTTTGCTAGGGCTACAATAACAAAGTAGCACAGACTGTCTGTGTAGGTTAAACAACAGAAATGTATTTTCTCACAAGTCTGGAGCCCGGAAGTCCCAGATCAAGGTGAAAGTGGGTTTGGTTTCTTCCAAGGCTCTCCCCATGGTTTGCAGATGGCTGCCTTCCCCTCCTGCCTTCACATGGCCTTCCCTCTGTGTGGTCTGCTCATTATTTCCTCTTCTTTTCTTTTCTTTTTTTTTATTTCAAAGTATTAAGGAGGTACAAATGTTTTTGGTTACATGGATCACTTTTGTTATGCTTGACTCAGAGTTAAACGTGTGCACGTCAACCAGACAGCGTTCACTGTACCCGTTAGGCAGGCTTTCGGCCATCCCCTCCTTCCCCTCCCCCATGTTTGATTTCCATGGAGTTTTACTTCCCTCTGTGCACATGTGTGCTCATCGGTTAGTTCCAATTTAATAGTGAGTCCATGTGGTGTTTGTTTTTCCATCTGATCCAGCAATCTCACTACTGGGTATTTACCCAAAGGAAAAGAAGTCTTTTTATGAAAAAGACACCTGCACTCGAATGTTCATTGCAGCACAATTCACAATTGCAAAGATGTGGAATCAACCTAAATGCCCATCAATTCATGAGTGGATTAATTTCCTCTTCATATATGAATCCTGTTTATATTGGATTAAAGCACATGTTAATGACTTTATTTTAACTTAATTACCCCTTTAGAGACACTATCTCCAAATACAGTCACATTCTGAGGTAATGGAGGTTAGGACTTCTGAATGTAAATTCAGTCCATAAAACCCTTCTATAGTCAGATTGATGGAGAAAAAAGAGGGAACACACCAATCAACAATATCAGGATGAAAGGCAAGCCATCACTAGAGACTCAAGTGATGTTAAAAAAATATATAGTATGGAAGTATTATGAACAGTTCTATGCATAAAATTCAACTTAAATAAAATGAACCAATTCTTTAAAGATAAAATTACCAAAACTTGCTCAAAAAGAAACAGACAACGTGAATAGTCCTATAGCTAGTAAATGAATTGAATTCATAATAAAATAGGAAAACAAACAAAACTCCAGGTCCTGAGTTTTAGCCCTAGCAATCACCAATTCTACACACTCTCTACAGAGAAGAGACAGGAAAACTCCCCAATTCATTTATGAACCCAGAATTACCCTTAGACCCAAACCAGACAATGAGAAAAGAAAAATATAGACTAGTATCTGTCCTGAACACAGAAGCAAAAATTCTAATCAAAACAGTAGCAAGTCAAATCCAGCAATAATATATATTTTTAAATAATGCTCACGACCAAATAAGGTTTATCCTGAGAAAGAAAAGCTGTATTCAAAAATTCAAAATCCATCACATTAACAGACTAAAGAAGAAAAACTAAATAATCTTGTTAGTATATGCACAAAAAGCACTTGACAAAATTCAACATCCATTCATGATAAAAACTCTCAGAGACAAGGAATAGTAGAAAACTTCCTTAACCTAATAAAAAGCCTCTACTAAATAAATAAATAAAATGTACAGCTAACATCACATTTAATAGTTAAAGAATATATGCTTTCCCCTCA